CAGTTCCCGCAAACCTAATATACTCTTGTACATTTCATGTACAGAGTATAAAAATGGGGAGACCTTTCGAAAAATCTTCATCAGGCATTTACTTTCGATTCTACTGGAGCCATGTATTGAGCTCACAGTAAAAGGTCTATCGACAGGAACTACATTGTTAAGCTCCTTTATGGGCTTCACATAGTTCTTTGCCGCCCCAGTATCTATAAAAATTCTTAGGGTTCTTCCAGCCAACTGCCGTTCAATGAGCGGTAGCCGGGAGCGTTTGCTTTAAAAAATTCACCGACTCACTGCCACATGCCGAGTCGCTTTCGTCGTCTATATCATTGACCGCTGCCGTGGCACCGCTCTCATAACTGATCTCCTGACTGTTAGGAGCAATCTGCACGACATTGTTAAAACGCTGCCGCCTAGGGCTTGTCATGCGCTCAGACGTGTTCTGCCGCTCCTGGGCTAGCACACTTTTAATCTAGGGCTTCCTAAACTCTGTTCGCTGTCTAAACTTTGCAGTGGAATAAACTTCTATGGGCTCTGGGGCCTGTCCCTGCTGTTCCCTTCTACCCTGGCCAAAATTGTTGTGCTGACGTTTGACAAAATGAGGGGTTTTCTCCTGACCTCTTTCGTCCCTGAAATTCTTTCACTGCCTACGCTGCGAGCGTTTCTTACTGGACGCGATCGCTTGAGTCCTTTCTTCGATGGTCTTAGCTTACGAAGTTGAAAACATGCTCCGCTCGATGAACCTCGCTATAATGGCATCAAAATTGAGCACAGTGTTGTGCGAAACGAGTAACGCCCTCGCAGTATCAGGCCTGTGTGCTGCTGCCGTTAAACGGCCTGAACAGCTCGTATGCGTCAGTCACTGACTGCTGCCACGCCACATATTCATCCTGTGTACCCTCAAAATCGGGAATTTATAATGTCTAATGGAATATCGCACCTAATGCCTGGGTCCACTGAAATTCTTTGGTATGCTTCAATCTGCGGCACTTCCACACGCAGTTTACTTATTTGAGCCCTCACTGTATCGAGCTGCGATCGGAAACTCTCCTCCTGCTGAGCCAAGGCCTGGCTAACGGCAACCGCCACCAAAGCCTGCACCTGATTCACATCCATGACTGCTTCTGCCTGGGTATCAATCTGATTGCTATTTATGGAATCTACGTCCCAACCGTCGTCACTATCGTATTCAACCTTTATTTCCCTGTACGGACCTGACCAACTCATCAACCCGTCCCAAAGAGCATTAATTGACACTTTCCACACGCACAAAAAAATGTGTGTTGTGGCCGATTATTTAAAGTCGGCAAAATAAGGAAATCGTTCACTTAGCTGACACTACTCACATGCACAAATTTGTATCTGATGGCCGATTGGGATGAAAGTTTGCCAGCTTCTCTAATCACGTCTTGGCATAACTTAATTTCAGACTTTCAACAGACGCAGAGATTGAAGTTTCCCAGATTGGTTCTTCTCGCCGGAGGTGCACTTGAAATACACGGATTTAGCGACGCAAGTATGGATGCATATGGAGCTTGCGTATACGTCGTATCTGTTACATCAAACGGTCGCAAGGTTGAGTTGTTGTGCTCAAGATCGCGAGTGGCGCCGCTGAGGACAATTACTGTGCCCAGATTGGAGCTGTGCGGAGCTGTCTTGTTGGCGCAGTTGGTCAATGAAATCTCGCAAATGGCAATATTTAGCTGCAAGTATTATTGCTGGTCCGACTCTGTCATCGCATTATCCTGGATAAACAGCGAGCCGTCCCGATACCAAACCTTTTTCTCGAATCGGATAGCAACCGTTCAAGAGTTGACTTCGGACATGAAATGGCGATATGTACCTACTCATCTCAACCCAGCGGACATTCTCTCACGAGGAGCACTTCCCAGCGAGCTCGTCCAGTCAGCACTATGGCTTCATGGCCCATCGTTTCTTGCTGAGGACAAAACTTGTTGGCCTACTTCCTGCACAACAGTTTTAACTTTGCCGGAGCAGCGAAATAAGGTGCTTCTGAGTTCCTGCCCATTTCAGGACATCAGCCAGGAGTGTAAATATGCCAATAGCTTTGCCAAACTGCAACGTGTATTTGGATATATCTACAAGTTCCTGCACCGAATACGGATTCCCGGACTAACTGTGGATTGCGTGCATCTCGGCACGCAAATATTGCTTCGTTTGATACAGAGGGCACATCTTTGGGATGACTACAAGGCCCTCCAACAATCTCGATCTATTAAATCATCCAGTAACATCGCTTCGTTATCGCCTTTCATCGACAATTTTGGATTGATGCGCGTTGGCGGGCGTTTGAGAAACTCGACACTTGACTTCGAGGCCAAACACCCAATTATACTGCCCAGACGCCATCCAATCACATTCGCACTCATAGCTCATTTTCATGAGCAAAATCTACATTCTGGACCACGTTCGCTTTTGGCATCTATTCGAATGCGATATTGGCCAGTCGGAGGTCGTAAAACAGTCGCCCGTGTTGTTAATAAATGCACGTTATGCTTTCGAGCAAAGCCACGTCTAATGGAGCACACCATGGCTGACCTTCCTGAGGATCGCGCAACCGTTCATGGCCACAGGCGTAGATTTTTGTGGCCCATTCTTCTACAAGAATGAAGTGCGTTACAAGGATCCTGTTAAATGTTATATTTCATTTGTTTCTCCACGAAGGCCGTGCACTTGGAGTTGGTTAAAGACTTAACCACTGGATCGTTCCTGAGCGCATTAAAAAGGTTTATTTTGACGCGTTGTCGGCCAACTCGCATATGGTCGGACAATGCAACAAACTTCGTCGGTGCAAAGAACGAGATGGCTGAGCTTAAACGACTATTTCAGAGCAGAGAGCATTTGAAGGCGCTTCAAGAGTTTTGTTTGGCTGACTACATAGATTGGCGATTCATCCCTCCTCGTTCTCCGCATTTTGGTGGGCTTTGGGAGGCGGCGGTGAAGACTGCCAAGCACCACTTCTTCAGAGCTGTTGGGAGTTCGCTGCTTAATTTTGATGGGCCGCGCACGTTAGTTTGCCATATCACAACCATTATTAATTCACGTCCTTTATTACCGCTTTCAGAACATCCTGGCGATCTCGATGTTTTGACTCCAGCGCACTTTATTGGCACTGCACCACTGTCGTCCTACATTGAGCCGGACATAACCAAGCACAATTTCAATCACTTAGATATATGGCAGCAGGTCACCTACTATCAGCAGGTGTTCTGGGCGCGCTGGCGCGAAGAGTATTTGACTCTACTTCAGTAGAGATCCAAGTGGCGTAAGGACCAGCCTGGCATCTGCATCAACGATGTCGTCCTCGTCAAAGACGGAAACCTGCCATCACTCAAATGGCCGCTGGCACGAGTCGTCAACCTGATCCCTGGAGCAGATGAGGGTTGCTGAGCTGAAGTCTGCCACTGGACTGAGCCATTTAACGTAATGTAACTCATTGTTTGCTTTGTCGCTCAAATTCCTATTTTTCTTTACGCATTGTTCTTAAATTGCTATAATTTTGCCTAAGGCGCTGCACTGTCGCATCGTTCGTTTTCGCTTGTGTCGGTACGGTAAACCCTAGTTTCCGTCTACTCGATCAATTTCTATATTAATATTGCACTTCGGCAATAGTTACTAAATTGAATTGCATTTCGGCAATATACATAATATACATGGTACATAATAGTTTTCTTTTCGTCGCTTAATATTGAACTTGTAATATGGTTTTCAATCGCAACCAAACAGTCGCAAATTAAATCGAACTATTTCGCACAGTTGAACAATAATTCTTGCGTATTATTAGTTATAGAAAAGCCTATAACTACACAGACATCTTTGTGCAAAATTTGGTGTCTCTATCTCTTATAGTCTCTGAGATCCAGGTGTTCATACTGACGGATAGACGGACAGACAGACAGCCAGAGCTAGATCGACTCGCCTCGTCATGCTGATCAAGAATATATATACTTTGTGGGGTCTGCCACGCCTCCTTCTGCCTGTTACATTTTTCAGCTCCCGCAAACCTAATATACTCTTGTACATTTCATGTACAGAGTATAAAAATGGGGAGACCTTTCGAAAAATCTTCATCAGGCATTTACTTTCGATTCTAAAAAGAAAAGATTGCAAAAAAGAGCATATGAAGTTGAATTCAGAAATTACAAAAATTTACTTATATTTTGTTTCCCCGGTCCGTACTTTAAATTTACATGGCATTTTATGACCATTCACATTTTTGCTAACAAACAGACTTGCCCAATCGGCGACACACAATTTTCGCCAAATTTGTTTAATTAATACACAGTGATTTGGTACTTATTTGAAACAAGAATTGCGTCAAAAATATATATCCTATTTTTACCTTTTGACTCACAACTTTAGACTTAACTCAGCAAAATGTGATGTTCGAAAAATGTAGTTTTCTATTTGAGCCAAGGGGGCATCTCTATTGATTGGTTGCTTTGAATGCTGTGTGTGAATGCTGGTGTTTTAAGTATACATTTAGTAATTTGCTAATTTAATAATATTTACGTGGGATATGCAAAATATATTTGATGCAGATGGTTCAGAAAAACTAAGGTTTATATTCCAATGAATATTTTTATTTGATCAAAACTCCTAGCAAAGCAAACAAGATTTAAAACATCCCTGTGGCACCGTTAATTGGTTTTGAAGCGAAATTTGGGCGGAAGAGATTTCTGTGGCACCCCTGTTTGGCTTGCTTTTGGGTTATTCTGTAAAAAACCAACAAAACCGTATCAATAAATATTTATGTATGTATATAAAGGTTCAAATACACTTTTTTGGCATAACTTTAGAGGGCAACCAAACAAGCTCGACGAAGTAACTAAAAAGCCGGGGAAATAATGTTAAAGATGAGAAGATATATCGTATTTAAAATCGGTGCATTCGATGCATATAAATTTTACATCATAATATTATATCGATATTGCCATATCGATTCCCCATCCCTAATCTCTACTGTATATTACGACTGTTTCATAACCTTGCAACAATCAATCGGTTTTATATTCATATTTTAAAATGCGCCCAACAAATATACTTTACGCCCAGCATATAGGTTGGCATTTTAAAAAACACTGGCAAGTACAGGGAAAAAGAGTGCATAGAGAAACAGGTGCTATTGCCGAGCTCTTGCGATACAATCTTGACATAAAGTCTGCTAAGAAAGTAGTAAACCCAAGTCCTGCAAGACAAGAGTGAGTAAATGCGAAAAGCAATTATATTTGAATATACACTATGAATGCATGCAGTGTGCATATTATAGGACCTGTCGTGGAAACCGTCGTTGAGAACGATTCACATCAAAAGTGGCATAACGAAACTTGTCGCAATTATAGTGATTCTAATGTTCTTCTTGGTGGGCTGGCGCAGGCCCAGGTTCTCACTAATACCATTGAAATAAGAAGATTTCCTCGGCAGATTGAAAATGCCATTGAAAACCAACAAATCCCTTCCGCTGTGGATCGAAGAATTAGGAATGCCATTTTAGATTCACATGTATTTCATGCGCTTCAAACGAAACTGCCAAAGACAAAGCTGGTTGACCGACCAGCATTTAATATTCCGCGTACATATGGAATTGCGAGCGAAAGGTGCAAGTACGATTTTTTTTTTTAATTCTATTGTTCGAATATCTAATTGTATGTTTTTTCAGCCGACTTTTGGTAAACAAACTGTTGTTTGAAATAGAAAAACTAGCTGGTCAATCAGTGACATCACGTCGAAGGCTTTTAGATAATGTCACTTTAAATACATCGCTGACTAGAAAAAAGGATTTGGTCAATTTCGCAATTACAACTGACAAGATGATAACCTCAATAAGCCCCTTGGGAGCAATATCTGATAAAGTCGAGGGAACGATACCCGATCTGTTTCCAATGGAATCGACAATATCTATTCCAAAAAAACATATTTACACTGGAGAAAACTATTATTGTACGATTAGTGTATAAATTTTTGAAAACTTTTTATTAATATTAATTGCCTACATTTAATTACCAGCACTTCGGACGGAGATAACCAGCACCCATCCTCAGACGGTTATTACATATTGTAAAAAAGGTGCAACCAATTTGCACAGATCTGTCCTAACACCATCCCAATTTGAGAGCCGCACTATGCTGACCGCATTTGCTGCTGCTATTTCGCGCGCAAAGCATTTGTATGGAATTACAACAGGGACACTTCAAACGCCAGTTGTTGTACAGTCCGTTCAAACGGATGGCCGTACCTTTCATTTTGGGATTTTCCAATTAAACACTTTTGATATAAGCTCGAACGTCCAAAATTATTGGTTCCATAGAAACTGTTTTGACTTGTTTTTGGAATGCGGTATGAAAGCTGGAAGACCTTACCTGGAGGGTTACAACCGTGAAATATTTTGTATATTGAACTCTTTTTATCATAACATTTAAAGTATTATAACATTAAATTTAAATAAATTTTGAAGTGAGCCCTTAAAAACATACATAATAATTGCCCGTCTTTGCAAGGCTAAGTATTTATGCTTATAATAATTTAAATGAGCATACACACATAAGTATGTACATATGTATGTATGTACCTTCATTATAATAATTATTTCTGCTCTTTAATGAAAAGTTACAAAAATAATATGTTGTGTTCTTTCCTAGAGTAAATAAACCAAGTTTACAGTTAATCGGATTTCTAATTATCTAAAACCACTTTTTAGTGCTCACCCACACTGTAACAGGAAACTTTTGTCCAAATTTCAGCTTCTTAACTCTTACCATTTGGGCTGTGAGTTAATTGCACTGACATACATATGTAGATACAATAGTTTTCAGGCTCCAATTATTATACCCTGTACCCAAAGAGTAAAAGGGTATACTAGTTTTGTGTGAATGTATGTAACACTCAATAGGAGGCGTGGCAGACCCCACAAAGTATATGTCTTCTTGATCAGGATGACAAGACGAGTCGATATAGCCATGCCTGTCCGTCTGTATGAACGCAAGTATCTCAGAAAGTATAAGTTCTAGCAAGCCCAAATTTGGTATCTAGATTATCCGAAGTCCGAGAAAGGACGAGTTTGTATTTTTTTCTTATGGAAGGGAATAATTATAAGAGTATATCTTAATTTAAAATTCACATTTGTGTTTTTTCCAGCATTATTGAGTCAATAATCACGCACGAACTCTGAATATGAACCACGGCACTCGTGTCAATGCCATGCAGCGAAGAGCCTCGATCAAAAAGCTCTGACAATGCCTATCTCAATTTCCTACAGTAAAACTTTCTATAGCTGAATCCACCGATACTATCGATATCGACAATAACATCTTATAATTTATTGAGATCAATTAGATGAAGTCATATACATATGTATGTACATACATCTGCCCACATTGCGAAGCAGAATATGCGTAGCTCCGTTATTCGGTTTGTGCTTTACTATCGCTTACTCAGTCGTTGCCTAGCGACGGTAAAGAGGCGTCGATAATCAAAAAATGTGGACGAAAGAATAAGAGCGTGCCAATGACTTGCAGTTACCGTTGTTGATTTTCGTTTTAAAAATTTCATTTATGATTTAAAACCACAGAAAACTATTACAATTAAACAACAGTGTTCGATGGCCCACTGTATATATACAAACATATACATATGTTATTTTTTTTAAAATTATTTTTATTGAAAAGCAGTACAGGAGAAAAGGAATAATATTAGAGGTAGGACAAGGAAGTGAAGAAAAAGTTGTGAAGAACTAGAGTCAGGCCAGCGCCCAGGCGGTACGGCCGTGGAGCATTGCTTCACCAGGGCGTCGACCTAACTACATCCGACCTCGCTGACGTTCACGCTCAAGTCTGCGCAACTCCCCCATGACCGTGGCAGCAAAATCGCAGCAGGCATTCCAAAATTGCTTGTCCGCAATCATATTGGTGATAAGATTCGTTGGAGATACCGGTTCCCCTAGCCAGTTGTTGAGGTGGTTTCTCGCTCTCTCGAACCTGGGACTCACAAAGGTCAGGTTTCCGCGCCCGCAGAAAGTGAATTCTGCTCCATCATCATGACCAAACCGGAAGAGGTAGCTGTGGAATCACCCATCACCACTCGGTTGAAAATGTTTTCCCCCCTTTGGAGCTCGATTTTTAAAAATCCCTTCTTAGTGCACACCTACACTATAATAGAATACTGAGCCCAAATTTCAGCTTCCTAGCTTTAACCGCTTGGGCTGTGGACTGTTGATGCGGTTTCCTTTTGTGCCCCAATATGTTTTTTACAGGAAAACTTCCATATTTCGGGCCCAAAAAAAATTTAAAAAAACCAAGTATGCAGTTTTTGTTGTAAATTTTCTAAGAGTATACAAACTGAGTTCGTAGCCTACGCTACAAAAGGATACTTAAGTCCAAATTTCAGCTTCCTAGTTTTTACCGTTTGGACTGTGCGTTGATCACCAATCAGTCAGTCAGTCAATCAGTCAGGGCAAACTGATTTATATATATAGATTCTACACATATGTAGAGAGTATTTCAAAGTCGGGACACTTGACATTAGCATTTCTAATTGTTTATATATAAACTAGCGTCCCGCCCCTGCTTCGCATGGGTATTATACAATATTTCAAAAATTATAAATTTTATAACATACACACTGTTGTCGCCGAAAAGCGGTTCACCTAGGGTTAAGCATATTTGTTTGTCTACTATACTATACTATTTTAAGCGCGCCGAAAACTCTGCCATTAAAAGTGTACGGCTTTAAGCCGGTAACTTGCCGGTATGGCAAAATCTAACGGTTCACAAAATTATGTAAAAGAAAGACCTGTGTCTTGCTACTCTATTTATTGGAGCTTATACAACTAGCAAAAGATCGAAACAAAAAAATGTTATAGAGTTTACTGGCTTCATTGCAACTAATATTTAGTTTGCTACTTTACTTGTATATCAGATTATCAGTATCAAATATGCAAAACAAGTGAGCTGCCCGATGCAGCCGCAAGTTGATTTAAAATGCAATTAAATACGAACAAAAAAAAAAAGCTCACATTAGCGATAGTGAGGTAGGGCAGTACCGTGATCAATGCATTCAAGGTGCATTGACCTTGGCTTGTTACAATTTAGTGTTATTTGGGTGCTCTCAAAGACATGCTAGTATAAGAGAAAATTATTAGTAGTAGTCGAAATTAAATTGACACTCGAGTCCAGCTATAGCAAAAGCTCAATATATAAGCTCAAGTAAATATATGTTATAGGTATATCAATTTAACCGTGACTTACAAACCAGATAAGAAGCGATAGCAAAACGGAATATAAAACTTACATGCAAACTCCAGGGATGAAGGGCCCTCCAGCAATGGTGTTGTTGTTGTTGGGAATAAGTGCAATAAATAGGGGCATGACATACATATATACATACTTATATGCATTTAATTTAAATGCTTAGATCACTTAACATTTCGTTGTATTTTTATATTCAGCGTTGACTTGCTTAAATACATCACTTGAATGTATTTCTTTGGGGTTTTATATTTAGTGCTGACTTTGATTCACTTTACACATGCCTGTGGAGATTTTGAGTTTTGGCATTATATTCTTGTTTCCTTTTTTTCTTTCTTTTCTTTAGGTTTAAAAAAACAAAAAAACCAATGCTGTCGCTCAATTAATCATTTTTGGAGACGACAAAAAAAAATAAACCAAATAAATTTGTTCATACATACATATGTAGGTACTTACAAACTAGGTACACACTTTCTGGACTTTTACATTTTCTTATGTTTCAATTTTTCTTGTTTTTTTATGGAATTTTCATGGAGATCAATTTTTCTCTAAAAAAAAAAACTTAAGCACTGTAGCTCATTCTCGGCTCTTTTGAAGGGGGCACTAGCATGTGGCGTGGAGAGGGCGGTTGCTAATTTGCGTATCCGCAATGGACGTGGCCGTGGGCGTATCGCGTGGGCGGTTAAGCAAGACTGACTGGATGGCTCTGCGACAACGAGAGCAAGCTTTGCAAAATGCTCTGGATTCTCGCGCTCCCTCTTCAAGCAGGGGGCTCGGCTTGGAGACCTGCTGGATCTCTTCGAAATGGGCGGCACATCAACAGAATATCAGCATGGAGACGGCGACTTTGGGGAGGAAAAATGATACTATCCCCGCGGCTCTCAAACTTCGCTGCACTTTATGTAGAATAGTTAGGCCAGATGCTTCACATTTAGCGTCGGATGCGCACTGATTAGGTTCAGCGCTGGAATTTCGTGTTGCCAATAGGATGACCAGCCGCAGTGAAGGTTGGTTCCCTTTGGAATTGATTTTGGCTGCGGGCGTGGATACGGCGTGGTTCTAGGCCAGAAGTATGTCGATCAAAAGAGGGAATTTGAAGCACGAGCAGGCATTTTATAGTCTGATTCTAGGGAAATACGTAAAATCGGTTGAGCTTTGTATTCCAACCAAAAGCCAGAGCTGTACAACCAAAAGCTTTCGGAGTAATACAGCTGATAAGGGCCTGAAGCTTTGGGACAAATATTGGCCCTTTTTATCGCTAGTGCTAATTTTGTAGCACCGAGCTGCGATAAAAGTAGAAAATTTAATTTTAATGCAGGCGACTATTACACGAAGCTGCGTAGAAAGGCCGCCGCCGTAAGCACAAACATAAGAGCGGCAATTGCAATTATGTTGCTCGCAGGCAGCTGCAGTGTACGACACTTTTTCTCTTAAGACTATACGTTGATTTCAATTAAAATTCTCTTAAATACTTATGACCAGTTAAAACTAAGTGAAATGCCTTTACAAAACGTATTCTGTAACCATGTGCTTTTAGTTAGGAAAAATTATGTAATTATTTCTGGAATTAAAGATGAAGTTAGTGAAAAGTTGATTGATTGTTTCGGCTGCTTTGAAAAGTCGTTGCCGCCTGGCCCCAAACTCAACACACACATTTACACCTTTCTTTTTGCTATGAGTTCCTAAGAAACAAGAAATGCTAAAGTCGAGCGTGCTTAACTCTTAAATACCCTATAACTTCCTGTTAAATCAACCTATCAATATGAAATTTGGCATACGGATACATAATCATAATAACTGAAAGTAATTTCCAATTTTGAGGTCGAAATTCCAAGCTCTTATACTATCTGCGATCCTTGCGTTCATACAGACGGCCAGACATGGCTATATCGACTCGTCTTGTCATCCTTATCAAGAAGACATATACTTTGTGGGGTCTGCCACGTCTCCTTTTGAGTGTTACATACAAGTACATTCACACAAAACTAGTATACCCTTTTACTCTTTGGGTACATGGTATATTGTATGTAATGATTTCTTTTGTAATTTTTAAAATTTTTTTTGTTATTAATTATTGAGTCAGTGCTTCTCTGTAAGCGATATTTGATGCTATTTTATTTTATGGCATCCAAATAAATTCATGTTCAGGAGCTCCGACCCGCGATAGTCTAACATTCATGTGCCAATGACGAATTGTTGTCCCTATAGATAAAAGGAATTGAGTGTATAT